CTAGAACTGAAGTCCCATTTGTTCGTCTTCCATTTTCTGTCGAAGCCATAGCCTCCTGTTCGCGACTCATATCCTTGACTTCCATGACCGGACACCCCACATTCGTCTCTCCTCCACCTATGCAAACGTCGCATGAACATGGCCTCTCATGCCGCTTGTGCCCGTCCTCCGGCTCTGCTCCAATTTTCCTTCCACTACTCGCACTACAGTCTCCTCGAACCTTTCCAAGAATTTCATCTCTTTCGATCATTTTTCTCAGTTATGGCCACCGCCATAGCGGAGTCAAAGGAGTCACCTGGAAATAACCCAGGTCTCATTTCAGTGAAGGACAAGGCTACCAAGGAATATTTCTTGCATCAAACAGATGGGAAAACCGCCCCTGTTTCTGATTCAAGGGAAAAAGGGCTAATGTGAAGTCTTAACTCTTAGAAAAGAGGAAGATGTCTGGGAATGTCCTTGTTGAAGAGCTTGGATTTTCTAGAAATGAAGTTCACTATCTATTTCTTGGGTTATGAGGATACAACTTCAGTACCTGCTGACCCAAAAGAGCAGTCGGCCAAAAAGCTACACTTGAGTTAACACATAACTGGGGCACAGACAGTGGTCCTAAATTCATGGGCTACCATAATGTAAATTCTTAATCCTCGGGGTTTTGGCCATATAGGCATCCCAGATCACAGTTGATGATATCTACAAGGCATGTGAATGATTTGAACGCTTAGGAGTGGAGTTTGTGAAGAAACCTGATGATGGAAAAATGAAAGGCATTGCCTTTATCAAAGATCCTAATGGTTATTGGATTGAATTTTTTGACCTTAAAAAATTGGGGAGGTTACAGCAGTAGCCTCTTGAAAGACCCAAGACTCTAAAGCAAACAAGTATCTGTCGAAGACCCGTGCCATTGATCTTTGATCTAGACGGATGGTTTTGAATTTTGAAGACCGCGCTATTATTTTTAATCCGAGCGGATGGTTTTAAATCTTGAAGACCCGACGCCGTTAACCTTAGGTCTAGATGGGAAGAAACAATGACAAGTGCCGCCCCTTCCTCTCTGCGAGGGGAGGGGACACTGGGATGTTGCCAAAATTGCCTAAAAAATCTATAGGGCAATTCAATTTGAATATTAATTCAATTAAAATATTAAAACCAATTTTAACTATTAATTAATTAATTCAGTTATTTAATATTTAATATAAATTAATTGATTAATTGAGATTTTAGAGTTTTTTGCATCATCTAATGCATGTGAGTTGAGAAGTTGCAAACACTTAATCCTCTAGGCCCTTTAATGACCTTTGCAATCATCATTGCATTTAAGTTCATTTGAGTTGTTACTAAAAGCCTACCATCAAAATTTCCAATTCTTCTGTGTCTTACTAGTTATGCATCTTTCAAGCATAAGATCTTGAGTAGAGCTAATATGAATTGTTTGAAAGTAGAGCTAATATGAATTGTTTGAAAATTTTTTAAAGTTTGTTTGCATATTCATTTATATGGTTGTCTGAAATTAAATTGGTAAAAATTAGTGGGATGATAATATCTAGTGGAAAATAATATAAAGATGTATAATGAGTTATAGTTCATCCAACAAGAAGTTAGCATGCATATTTTGAAAATATACAAATTCAGCTTTTCCAACATAGTAAAAAGAAAAATATAAAATCTCTTTAAACTTTAGTTGAGCAAAACAATAGTTCATATGAAGGCATTTTCTCATAATATTAGACAGATAAAAATTCTGGCAAGAAATAAAATTGAGTTCATGCAGATTAAATTTTTGGTGGATTTACATACATATTACAAAATTCTTATATATTTACAAATATAATATCTTCTTATATGTTCACATGCATATCACAATATTCTTATATATTTGTGTTTCTGAGTAACACTACCATTGCCAGGTCCCAAGTCCTGGATAAGAAAAGTGGAGGGTTGCATTAGGTAGTAGACAGACAGCATAAAACTTGTCGAATAATAATGACATGAATCCTTTAAGAAATTGTGTTAATGCTAGGGCGTCCTCTGGAAGCGACGCGCTGTATGGCTTGAATATAGTGACAAGTGTGCAAGGACCGCTGCACCGGCGCCCGGGTGCAGTGTTAAATAGGCAAGGGTTCCCACATCAAGGACGGATGTGGGCAAATAAGCAAGTCCATGAAACTAAAATTAGGATAGGAACTTGGAATATAGGTTCCCTTACAGGAAAATTAATGGAATTAATATATATTATGATTCATAGGAAGATAAATATTTTGTGCATTCAGGAAACTAAATGGGTTGGAGAGAATGCTAAGGAAATTGATAGTTTAGGATTTAAACTTTGGTATTCGGGTAGGAGTCGTACTAGAAATGGTGTAGGTATTATTATAGATAAGAGTTTGAAGGATAATGTTATAAAAATTAATAGGATTGGAGATAGAATTATAGCTTTAAAGATTGTTGTTGAGGATAAGATTGTTAATATTATAAGTGCTTATGCTCCTCAAGTAGGTTTGGATATGAGTTCTAAATTAAATTTTTGGAATGACTTAGAAGAATTAATACAAAATATACCTATTGAAGAAAGAGTTTTTATTGGAGGAGATTTAAATGGACATGTTGGTAGAGAGGTAGATGATTTTAAAAGCATTCATGGTGGCCATGGATTTGGAACGACGAATGAAGGTGGCAAGACCATATTGGATTTTTGTTTAGCTTATGATTTTTCAATTGCTAATACTTTATTTAAGAAAAGGAATGAGCATCTCATCACTTATAAAAATGGATATAATACAACCCAGATTGACTATTTTCTTATTAGAAAATTAAATCGTTTAGATTGCAAAGATTGTAAAGTTATTCCGAGTGAAAATTTATGTACCCAACATCGATTATTAGTTTTGGACTTTAAGATAAAGGGGCATAAAATAAAAAATAAAGTAAAACAATTTTCTAGGATTAAATGGGGGCATTTAAAGAATATTAACAAAAATATTTTTGGAAATAAGATTTTAGATCTTAAGATTTTGTCTGTGCATGAGGATGCTAATTTTCATTTCTAGGCAGGATGATCATTCACTTAATTTTATTGTCTACTAGTTCTCATGATCTTCAGAGTCAAAATCACACATATGATTGTAATCTACAACATGAAAGCTATGTATTGGTCGAGTTTCCTCAATTTTTAAGTAAATATTCGCATTTATCAAGCATATGAGAAAATAGGATGATACATACAAGGCTACTCAAAAGTCTAATTTTATCTTAGTATTTCACCAATAGAAATCTACCCATATGCTTTAAATATCATAGTCAATTCTTGTATTTAATTATGAATTAGTTAAATTCATATACATATTGAAATAGCAATTATCCTCCTATGCAATTAATGCCGTATTTTGAGAAAAAGTTCAATGCATATGATTTCAAATGCTTTTCTCCCTAGGGGAAGAGTTTACATTCTCTTATTAAGTTCTTTTTACATCCACTTATTCATATAATCCATAAATTCAATATTACACCAATAATTGTAATTTATAACATAAGATTTATATTGTTGATTAATTTTCATGATAATTTAACCATTCATCAAGCATATCAAAAACTTAAGGATGTATTGGAGTTATCTAATAGCCTTTTAAAAATCTAGTTTTCCCTATTGTATTTCACCAATCAAAACCATTCAATACATGTAAAAGATCATGAACAAACCATGCATTTGATTCCAAGCCATTTAAACTCTCAACAATTTAAAATCATAATTATTTTCTCATGCAATTAGAGACATTTATTCTGAAATTTCTTTTGCATTTTATAGATGCCAATTGATCTTAATTTTGAGTGAAAGAATATTAGATGAATTTCGTCGTTTGAGGTTGGAGAAATTTTCTAATTTGAAGCTATATTTCCACATCTTCTTCAAAGTTCTCAACAGAATCATTATCATCATACTCAATATGATATTTTTCAATAAATTGGGACTTGAAGCCTCTTTTTGTGTACTTTTCAGAATCAGTACAATTTATTGGAGTTTTCTCCTCATAGTCATTGGAATCTGGGCAACATGCTTCCTTTGAAGGTGACTAAGGGTGTGCATTATTTGGATAAAGTTAAAAATTTGAAATGATATTGTTTGGTGTGTCTGGTTCAATTTGTTAAAGCAACAGTTCAATTACTAGTTGTAATTTTGACTCTCTTTGATTTTTGGTTATTAATTTCAATTTTATTTTTTAAAATCATTCAAAGAAAAAAACTAAATTATAGTAATTTCTTCAAATGTTGAAGTTAATAAAAATCCATGAATTGTAAATAAGCAATCAATAGAAAGATCAATGTGGATAGTTATTCTTCATGTTAAAATAATAAATTGTTGGCCATTAAAAGAGAAGCATAATACTAAGTTAAGTGTGGTAGAGATGAGGATGCTCAGGTGGATGAGTGGCTTTACCCTTAGAGATAGGATACGAAATGAGCATATACGTGAAAAGGTTGGAGTAGCTCCAGTATAAGATAAGATTAGAGAGAGTCGCCTTAGATGGTTTGGTCACATAAAATAGCGGCCTTCCAATAATCCGGTTAGGAGAGTAGAGTTATTAGATTTGACTTATGTTAATAAAGGTAGAGGCAGGCCTAAAAAGACTTGGTTAGAAAATATTAGGAATGACTTTTCTTTATTAGATTTAAACGAGAATTTGACCTTTAATAGGACACAATGGAGAAAAAGGATTCATGTAGTCGACCCCATGTAGTGGGATAAAGGCTTGATGTTGTTGTTGTTGTATTTGTGTTTCTGAGTAAATATAAAGACTTAGGTTTTAGATATATAAATATATATGAAGTTTTTGATGTGCTTGTAAATCCCCTGAATTTTTTCATTACTCATTTGGCTTCATTATTTTTAGGTAGTATTTTCCCTTTTATTAATTTTGAATATACTTCACAATGATGATTTTTTTTTTCACTATACTTTGTGTTATTTAACTGTAAGAGTGCAACTGATTTATTTGTTGCTTTTGCAGGGTTGAATCTGCTGATTGCAAAGATCATGCTGGTGAAAATCTGGGCCAAGGAGAGTTAATTCCAATCAAAAGATCTCCTGATGCAGCTGTGGGTGCTCTTGTTAGGATGCTTAGGACTGCATCACCTCTACAGCTTGATAATTCCAACACACTCAGATCCATGCAAGTTTTCGACGATGAAATTTCAAGCAAGAAATTTCAGCAGGAAAAAGAAGATAATGAGAAAAATGATATGAGGAAGGTTGAGAGTTCTTCCTGTTTGGATATTACAGCTTCAGAACTCTTAAAGTCGAGGACTGCTGCTGATGCTTTAGAAGAATTCCAAACTTATAAGAATATGAGGGAATTAATACTTAAACAAGGTGGATCCCTTGTTCAAGAAGTTGAAGATGCAGCAAAATCTAGTTCTGGATATCCAACAGAGGTCTAATGATGCCATTTATTGTGTATATATGTACATAATCTTATTTTACATCAGACTTCCTTTATCTTATGTGTCTACGATCTAAATCAAACTAACTTTATTCTAAATGTGGCTTAAGGTTTCCATGGCGCTTCCTTTTGTTTCCGAGTGCAAGTGGGCTGCTTAAGAAGTCATGATTTGAGGGGAAAAGTGTTAAATGTATATTTTTGTTTGATGAAAATGATATGACTAGCCACTTAATATGGCTTTTTTCCATTTGAGTTCATGGACCCACCTTTTCTGGTTTCATAAATGTGTTTAACTTTCTAGGTTTATTAAAGGATCAAGAGTATGCTATTCTTTGATTGTTGTTATTGTGATTCTATGCTGAAATTGATAACAGCCTCTCACTTGATCTTGTTAATGAACAAAAAAATGCAAATTTCACTAGCGTGCAAGATAATAACTACATAGAAACTACAACTATTGCACAAAGCTATTGAAAATCTTTGATTTATGTATTTTTTTAATCTGAAAGTTTTTTCTTTGATTGAATTCTTCTACGAAACATGGTAGCTGAAGGTAAAATTTCTCGAGGAAGTACAGTCTAGAAGAAGATTCATGCCAAAAGCCTTTGAAGTGCAAAGAGTGGCAATTATCAAATTAGCTCTTCAAATTTGTTTGAAATGCAACTCTGAGTTTTGTGGAGTTTACGTTAGTTCTTTATTGAAAATTTTCATCAAGAATTGAATTATCTAATCTTTACCTATTTAGTCGATTCCTTTTACAAGCTCTTTTATGATAGAATGGTTGCAGCTATTCTAAAGTGATTTAGCAGAAATTGAAAAAGGATAAAGAAAGAGGATAAAGGTAGTCGAGATTTTTCTATTGATGCATTTAATAGAGCTACAATGATATTTAGAAAGCCTAATTTAGAGTCACTTTAGGTGTCAGATTTATTGGATGGAGGGTTGAGAAAAAGGTTAGTAAGTTTGTCCTCGGGAAAAGAAAATGTGGTTGAGGGCATATAGATTCTGTCAATACTGCTCAAATTGATGATATGGATTAGGGATTAGCAATTTCTCATGTAGATGAGGAAGTTGAGTAGTAGTGAGTCCTTTTGTAAATATGTTTGCTACTTAATCTTGTGAAGCCATGTGATGGATTGAAATTAACTCATATTTGATGTATTTATGGATGAAATTATTGCCAATCTCAATGTTGTTGGCACGAAACATTGTAGACCGGATTATTGGTTGTTGCAAGTGCTGAGATGTTATCACAACACAGAGAGGTAATAGAGGATTGAGATGTATCAAAGTTTTGAAGTAGATGATGGAACCGTATGATATCATTGGCGGTTGTGACTATCTCTATATTTAGCTTTTTGTAGATAAGTAAGCTATTGTGGATTGCTTTTTAACACACCAGAAGCAGGAGTGTTGCCTAGATGCACAATAACCTGCCATAGATTTTATGTCAGAGTTGTGAGATGAAGTGACCCTTGGTGAATAGGACGGCCATAGTTTACAGTATCTTTGTGGTAGCAGAATAAACATTTTAGTTGCTGATAGTGAATCAAAAGTGGCTTGTGCATGTGTTAATAGAGATGGTTTACAACAAATGAAATGTCGATATGAGTGGCTGCGAGATTCTGGAGAGAACCAACAAGTTGGCTGTAAAGAGTAAGATATTCAAACTCACGACAGAGCTCCACAACAACCGACTTGGTTGGAATGGCATTGGAGTAAGGCTTGTGGTCATTCGAGCCTGTTCTATTAACTCCAACTAGTTCTATTTTTGATTCGGAGTCCTTAAGAGGTCAGTACAACATGTAGGTTAAGAAATTGAGAGAGGTAGCAAGTATCTTTCATGTGAAAGTGTTGGCTGCGATGTTGGATCAGGGCAGCAATGATTCTGGAGTTGTTTCTTATAAGTAGGCTATTGTTAACATAGTTGAGTATATACGTTAGGACACATTTCTCTTTGTACTGAAGTAATTATGGATTATCATTGCTGAAGGTGGAGTGAAGGTGCTATAAATAAGTGGTGAATGTTGCAAACCATTATTGAAGTGCCTTTTTAAGGCCATAAATATCCTTTTTTAGAAGGCACATATGAGTGAGATAGTAAGGATTCTTGAATCATGGTTTGCGCTATGTAACAAGTTATGGGCTTGTTGTGTGTGAGAACAACTTGAAGGAATACATGAATGATCTGCATTTTGGCAACCAAACTGAATGCTTCTATGTAATCGAGACCATGCTTTTACTTGTAGCCTTGAGCAACAACTTTAAGCTTTGTATCTTGCAACAATTCCATTACAGTTGTACTTGGTTTGTTATGTCCACTTGCTACTAAAGAGATTTTGGGTGGGAGATGGAGGGATAAAAATCCATGATCCTTGCCTCCTTGGTGGAGTAGATTTTCCAACTTGGTAGACATGGCTTGCCACCATTTTGCTATACTTGACAGCCATTGAATAATAGGTGAGATTAGTAAGATTTATGGTGTGGGAGACATTGAAGAGAGAATTTGGTTTGGAGTTTCCTGTCTTCGAGCTAATGAGCACGAGATAGCCTTAGGGAGCTTTTTTAGGAATATAAGATATAGTAGGTGACTGCTATGTAGATGGATTTTGGATTGGGGAGGAACTGTGAGCATGTGGAGTACTAGATTGTGGGACAGGGAAGAAATGAGAGTATGTGAAGTACTAGCTTGTGGGATGAGGAGGATGGTTAGCTGAGGTGTTATAGAAGAAGAAGGGAATGTGCTGTGTTGGAAGAGGATGTATAAGCTGGAGGGTGAAGTTGACATTGAAGTAAGGAGTTGAACTCGAGATTGGTACTAGAGTTAAAGGTGGTTGTTGCATTGAGATATGAGAAAGTGGGCTATATGTGATGTCTTTGTAGGCAAAGCATACTAAAACGTGGCAATAAATAAAATATCAGCGACCAACAGAACACGCACTTAGTAAACTTTTTTAGAGGTGCATGCTGAAGAAATGTGCAACTACTGGAGTATGGTGAGAATTCATGAGTAGAATACTGACAATACCATGTCAAACACTGATAGAAGAATATCTTAGTTATGAATATTGAGGACTTGCGTATTAGAGGAGTTCAAATATAGATGAATTTTGAGTTATGGGAGATGGAAGCCAGTTGATGAGATAAACCTTTGTGAGGATTACGTATACCCAAAATGAGTGGCATAGTTAAGCATCAAGGTGTTTCTGTATGGTTGATCTGTATGGTTTGAGAATATGGTGATGTTTGTGCTAAGCTGCCCCATTTTACTTTGACATGTGGACATGCATATTGGTGATTGGCTGCAAATGGAGAAGAATTGTTTCAGAGATTTGTCTATGTATTCATCACCACCATCTATTCGATAAGTTTTATGGTTAATTGAAATTTCTTTTAAGTTTTTGAAGTGGACTAATTAGATTGTAGATTCATATTTCAGAAACAATGGAAATATTGAACAATAATTCATAAAATTATTGATAAAGGAGCATAATATTGATAACCTCGTAATGAGATGATCGGGGAGGGATACCATGTATCAGATTGGATGAGTTCGAGAGGGACCAATTTATGAGAAGTAGATATTTGAAATGGCATACAATAACATTCAGACAGTTTATAAGAAATGCAGAATATTTCCTTAAAAGAAGATTTACATATGATAGAATATCTTTTGACTGTGTTGGAAGTAGTAGAGGAATAACAGTGGCTAAGTTATCAATGCTAGCTATTATGGATTAATTAAGTAGAGTGTAAGGCAAGAGCAGTTGATGAAGGTTCGATGGAATGAATTGTGTAGAACCTTTGGTGGCATGGACCTTTAAGAAGAGTTCTGTCGGTCTTCAAGTTCTTTATGAGGCTGTCATTAGCATTGAAGGAAATTGAACATGCATTGTCATTAATTGGACTTTGGATAGCTTATAGGAGATGTCAGGAGCATGAACAATTTAAGATAGAAGAAGCTTTTGGAAGTTGATAAGATATGTCTTTTACGATGTATATGAATGGAAGGTTGTAACCCTTGCCTAGAATCACTTGCTGCTAGCCGTTTTATACTCGAGGATTAGCAAGTTGGCTTGATTCTTAGGTAAAGCGGGATGTGGCATCATTGTCTAGAAGCTAGGTGTTGGAAGAGGCAGATGAATTAATGAAGAAAGGTGAGGATGGTGATAATCTAGTGTAGGTAATATCTTGTTAATTCCAACATTTTATTAACGAAGGTCCAACTACTCAATAGAGGGAATGATAGAAATAGATTCAGAGGTTGATTTTTGGCCTTCAATATCATCATCATTGAATATCATTGCTTTCAACTCTGGTTCATCTAGAGAAAGATTTGCAACCTCCAATAATCCCATATCATCAAGGCACTCGAACCCATCTCCAGCAACATCCCTCATCTTGTTATCACCTGTCATATAAAGTGGGGTTTTCCTTGATAGAAGACGAAGATTTGTATGCACATAAATTAAATCTTCAGCTCGTTGTGAAGTTATTTTATTCCTCTTCATTGATTAAATAAATGAGTATGTTCTCCAATTTCTCTCACAACAGGAAGAGGATGATACTTGACAAAGAAGTTTTATTGCTATTGTTTGAAGAAGCGGTGTTGAAGCTCCATGAATCAACCACTACATTTTTGGACCCATCCTCCATCTATCAACCAAAGATTCTTGATCACCAAAATTCTCTAAATATCCAAAGAAATTTACAAGTTCTATATTAATTTTTCTTCTCTCCTCATTTAGGAAATATATTTTCAGGCATATCTTTCTCATAGTTGAAACATCTAAATCTTTTTGTGGTTAGACACGTTGAGGGTCTTCTTGAAGCCATTCTTTACTTGAATACCTTCAAATAATACAAATCATATAAAATTATCTGTTCATTTACCAATAAATTTAAATTAATTTAAAAGATAAATACAAATGTACCTTAGATTTAATGAATGAGCCAAACAATGCAGATGTGCATTGCTTTTGCTCCACCTATCTTTAAGAATTGTATAGACAACGCTCTAAAAACTTGAGTCTTCTTCATGTGACTTTCTTTCATGTCTGTATATAATTTATTTCATTTTTGCTAACATAGAGTCCCACATCTTATAAATCAAATGTAGGCATGATTTATCTGTTTCAGCCTCTCTCAAATTATCATAAATTGGATCAGTGAAAGCCAAAATGTAGTCTACATTATCCCACCATAAATCATCTAAGACATTTTCTTTAACATACCTTGCATTCCCACTATCATCTTCTGGATAGCAAGACCACTTCTCACTAATCACCATAGATTAAAGAACATTTTTAATTTGTTTGAATCTTCTCAACATGATTATTACATAGTCAAAACGAGTTTCAGCAACAACTAATATTCTCAAGTTGGAGAAATCATTAACCATTGAAAGTCTCATCGAATGGTTCATAATAAAATTTCTGATTAGAACATCATCATATGCAACCAGTGTTATCCAATGACATTCAACATAGATGATTTCATTAGCCTATGTATTCTTTAAAACATTATGTCATAGATTATACGACATGTATGGCAAAGCAGACATGTGTATTTAAAATATTATGTCATAGATTAAATGATATTAACTCACTGGTGAAATATATTATATGGCACTAACAAATTAGAGCTTGGTGTATATCCTCCTAAATCATAATGGATATTCTCTATTTGAACTATTATCCTTCAACATAGAAATTATAATTTCATTTATATCTTGATTATTTATTGTTTTTATCTAGATAAGATTGTAACAAACCAATCATATATAGTAATACATCAAGTTAAATTGATATGAAATGAAATCAAAATATCCCAATAATAAGACAACATGAATACAACAATATACCGGTCTGCTGGGGGTCCAAGGGGGCGCTGCCTCCCCTGGCGGGGATTTCCAGGGGCAGCGCCCCTCGAACAAATTTCTAGGGTAAGAGTAGTTTTGAAGTTCTGCTTGTTTTTAAAGTTCGTAAGTTGTTTGTATGGAAAGATATCTAGTGGTATCGAGCATGTACCGAGCGGTACCGAGCATGTACCTAGCGGTACCGAGCATGTATTGGGCGGTACCGAGCATGTAAATTAGTTTTTTTTAGTAAGTTTCAAAAACAACAATTAATATTTCAATTAATCTAGACATTTTCAATAATGAAGAGAAGAAATGGCAAAATCCACTTATAGATCTTGGCTCACTTGCTCGCAGAAGGTGCTCTGTTTGGCGTTGATTGCAAACTTTGCCTCAGCTGACCGTAAAAATCACGCAGGAATGAAGGAATGGGAAAGACGAGCTCGGCTTGGCCTCGGCTCGAGCAGAAATGACGAAGGAACGGGAGGCGAAGGCAGCGGGCTCTGTTTGGCGTCGGCTGCGAGCTCACCCGGTCCGCCCTAGAAGATTTCTTTTGTGGATCGAAAAAATAAGGCTTCTCGTTCGCGGAAAAGGGTAAATAGAACGAATCAGACGATTTTATTATTTAATAACCAGACACACATGTCCGATTTTAATTTTAATTTTTTAAATTGCGACACTCCTATGCCGTGTCAGACACGTGCCCACGCAGTGTCGGACGCGTGTCCGTGTCCGACACTGCATACCCTCTTTAAGCGGAGTGTCGGTGCATCATAGTATATAAGTAACCTTTGAGTCCATCAGCTTGAAAAAGTTTGAGCATTAGAGATCTCCATGAGGGTGATTCTTAGAAGTAATTTGAAGACTAATAATGTACTTTACATTGGACATGATGAATTTAAGTTGGGGTGGGATAGTTTGGAGGGAAGTTATTGTCATGATCCAACCTGGAAACTCGAACTAATGAGGTGGAAACGAAGAGTCGCGCGGTTACAACATTTCTTTTAAATTCAAAAACAATTTATCAAAACATTCCAAATATAAGCTAAAGAGACACTAACACAATTTTCACATTTGAACATTTACATAAACTATATTTTTTTTACTTTCGTTTGATCGCTATCTTCTGTAGATGTATTACTCTCTTTCAGCCATTTCTACTTTTGAGGAGACTTATCTGAAAATTTAAGTTTAACAATTTGAGTTTACATAATAAACTTAGTGGATAATCACACTTATAATATAACAATTATACATACATAAAGTAATCATTCTCATTTGACATTCGTTTGCATTTAACATGTATATATATATATATATATCATTTCTATTTCATACAATATAAATCATTTTTCTATAAATTTATCAAATAATATACTCCTTTTTCAATAACATTTTTTCATCTTATATTATTCCTTTTCCCTTTTCATTTAGTACAAAAGCACCATCTAAAGTATGATCTAATGAAGGTACAATCATTTTCATTTTCATTTTCATTTCTATTTCCATTTAACATGCATGAGTACGTTGCTTTCCTAACCAGTACCATAAGGAGGTGAACTCCTGTAATTTGTATTTATGTATCTTTTCCCTTTCATTTATGTTTTCATTTATATTTTGTAAGTTATTTCATTCATTTCATTATTCTTTATATATATCTTTATATGTATTTTAAATAACATACATACACTTTTAAATTCATTTTCTTTTTTTCCCTTGCATGAATTTTAGATTGATATGTACATCTTTCACGTAAACATATACATGCATACTACATGAAACTTTTTAAATTTCAAATTTTCATCATCACATATACATTTTAATTTAATGTCATCTTGCATGTAATAGCATTTGTAATAACATTTCACATATAGTTAAAAATAAAATATACAAGATATTACATTTATAATTGAAAAGAACATAAAATAATATAAATGCCATAAACAATTGTACTTACTCACTTTAATTATTTTCGTATGTTCAGATTCCTTCCAAATCTTCAATTCTCTGAAATAGACCTCTAATACTTATCTCAGCTCAACTATGAAAATCTTCCAGTGCTCCAAATAGTATTTAATTTCATTAATTATCATTACAAAATTAAATGTCTTCATAATAACATATTTTTTTTTACAGTATTAAGGGTAACTTCAAATATGTGTAACATTGCATGCTTCCTCAAATCCATATTTTCAATTACATTGCACATATAATTTCTTAAAGTAGATTGAAATTTTCAATTATTTCACTTGCATTATTTTCTTACCTTAAATTTGCTCCTTCCTTGCCGAAATCAATTTTCACTAGCTTAATTTATTTCAAAGAATAAATTTCCAACCTAAAATCCTTCTTCTTTCTTTCTCAAATTTTCTTCCTTTACCTAAAAAAAAAAAGATTCTTCTTAGGTTTGGATCACCAAAGAATTGCACATAAAATGAACGAAATTGAAAAAAAAAAAACATTCCTTCTCCTTCTTCCTCTAGGTCGGTTTCTCTTGGCTGAAATTTTCTCATTTGTTTTGCCCTTACGGTGTGAGTGAAACGGAAATATTACTCATGAGGAGTTATTAGTTTTCACTCTCGTACTTGTTTGTTCACTCAATCATGCGATCCGACCTGTCCACACGCTCGATTAAGCCACTTGTGTGCGTCTGCTGCTTGCTTGGGGTTCAGTTCTTGCCCGCCTGCTTCAGTACAAGGGTTCGGTTCATTTGAACCAGTTAAGCTGAACCGGTTATTACAGTTACATTGCTGTTGGACTTGGTATGTGAGAGCCAGAGGGATTCATTGATTTGATGGATAAGCAAAGGGTGGGTTTCAGAGATAACAGATGGTGGACTTGAGGAGTCGTAGGTTTCGAAGGATTTGGGGCTGCTGGGCTAAGATCACTCTGATATCATGATAGATAGCTGCAGCCACTTTGCAGTGCTTTATCATAAGGGGAAAAATGATAAAGTAGCTGTGACTTTTTCATTAAAACATTTAATAGAGATATTTTGATATTTAGAGTCTAGTGTAGAGTCACTCTACAGATACAAGGTTTGTTATAAATCAAAAGTTGGGATTTATTGTAGCTATTATCAATGGAAGGCTGAGATGAGGACACTACAACAGGTATTATCCTGAGTAACAGAGTACGTGGTGAGAAATACAACTTGTCTCATTATTTTACATGTGTAAAAACTTCTTGAAGATTTAAGAACCGAACTTAACCTCTTGAACTCATTCAATAATTAGATTCATATTATAAATTGTAACTATGATATTAATCTGCTAATTTGACTTATAATAGCAACTTGAAAGTTTGTTGTAATGCATTGCTTGTTGGATTAACCGTCATCATACCGAATCCTGTAGGGAATATTGAATTCAGATTTCTCTTGGAAACATTGATCTGTTGAGAGCAAGTTTCACTCAAAAAGCTGATCAAGTGTAGTTCCTTATTCAAGCAACGCTCAGGAAGGAGTCCTGGTCAAAGCTTTGTTCTTTGGAAATTAATCAATTATAATTAAGAAATTTTGTAGTTCTTCACTCCTGCTCTGAGCTTTTCTTCCCTAATTATTATAATGCAATTATAGCCACTGTCTATTTCTTGAAATCTACCTAAATTCTTAAATTATCATGTCCACTTGATATGGCAGCTGGACATATAGTTATATTCTTTTATCTTTCTGCTTTAAGAAGTAATTGTGATCCTCATGCTTGAGGTTCTCATAGAATTGAGGGCTTGGAGTAATGATTAAGCTTCCTTCAGTGCATTCTGGAGGCTCAGATTCGCATCAAGAGAAAAAAAACCTATCTACAAATGCAAGAATATAACTGCAGACATCAAGGAAACAACCTATCCACAAATGCAGGAATAAAAATGCTTGCCTCAACTCTTCCTGTGTTAGTGAGAACTCCATGACCCCAAGGTATGTTCTTTTTCTTATAACTTGAGGTTTCCATGATGATTTCCTTAGTATCAATAAACATATGTGATGGTGTGTTACCTCTCTAATTCTGCCTTCGTTTGAAGATTTTCAGTACCGAACTTATCTTACCCTGTCAAAGTAATTTTTATTAATTTGGTGCAATTACTACAACAACGACAACAATAACAAGCAGCCTTAATCGCACTATGTAGGATCGGCTATATGAATCCTTTTTCTCGTTAATGTAGTGCAACTCTTTAATTAATTTTTTAGCTCCAAACCAACTTCAACTTCGTTCCGTTTTAAGAATCTTAACATATTGTAGATCATTTCGATAGTTTTTTTCTTCTTTCAGATGTTTTCCACTGGTAATAAGCAAAATAGTCAGGAAGAACTCTACTATCAACCACCTTACTGTAGTATCAATATTGCAAACCTTAGGCATACATAGAAAAGCAGTTTCTTGGAAGCATGGCTATAGGTATATGCGAATTGTTATGGGGCGGATACAAAGCTTAGCCAAGGCAGGACCCTAAAGGCCACTAGACCTGAATAGTTTCATGATCCCAAAGGTCACTGCCATAGCTACCCAACCGCCCAATAATACTCTCAACACTGATTTCACTAGTGGTGCACGGCCTAGCACTGCCCCAATCCACCCAAAAACTGCCAAGGCTAGGCTCGCTGCTATGGAAACCACCATAAGTCTCACCTTATATCCCCTTATAAACCCTGCTGCGAGGAGGGGTATTGCGGCTCCCATTGAGAATGCCAGGGCAGATGCAATTGCTGCTTGTGCTGGGTTTGGCAATCCTTCCTGAGTTGTTGCATCCAGAACCTTACCCCCCTCTTTTTCGTTAATTCTTTGCTCCCTCTTCAGCTGGGCCACCTCAATGTCAAGCTGGGAGTACACAGACACAAACTCCCCAATGGCCATGCTGCATGCCCCAGCCACCAAAGCAGCAAAACCAGATAAGACCATAGCCCTGGCATCATCTTTTACAGCCCCAATACCAATCATAAGAGAAGCAGTGGAAACAAGCCCATCATTAGCTCCCAGGACTGCAGCTCTTAGCCATTGTGCTCTTTGGGAGTAGTTGATATCTTCAATATTTGCTTCCTCATTTCTGGTGTTAGGGATGTTGAGCTTTGTTTCAGTGATGGCCATTGGAAATGAAAGGTTGTTTGGAGACAGTTGAACCTTAATTTTGGAGAGTAATGGTATGGAGTTGAAGAGTGTATAGCACTCGCACATCCTTAATGCTATTTTATAACCTGCCTGCACAGTTGGAAATTGATTTGTTGGATAGTGGTGCAGCCACTTCAGGTGAGGAAGGGACATTTCCGTGTTCATGTTTATCTTTAGAAAGGTGAATTTGTTATTGTTTTTGGGATGGTTTTAAATTGGACTATGTGTAAAGATATTAATGAGGAAAAGGTAATCATGGCTTTATTCTTTTAGTTTTAATGCTTTATAAGAATAGTTAGGTGATCGTTAATATAAGTTGTCTTTTTCCACATTCATTAATGATGAATTATGGCTTTGGATTATATTAAATAGCTATCATTATTCATTCCATAAATAATAATCTATGATCTTTTTCTTTTAATGGAAGCTTGAACCAGGAAGCAAGTAGCTCAACTTGACCATGGGAAAGTATCTTAGGTCTCATTTTGTTGCCTGTAGAGAACAAAATTCTTAGGAAGTGATGATCTTATTTTCATTAATTTTAAGGGTTCATCTGGTTGCTTGTAGATGGAAGTTATATTTTAGAAAATGATGATTTTATTTTCAAATTTGAGAGATTTTAAAGATTTCTGAAGAGTTAAAAAAATTCATATTAATTTCTAACTACTTTCAATTAGAAAATTATCATTTATGAAACATAAGAATCAAATGAGTTGTGAAACTGAAATTCTATCTCTTATAGAGTTAAAGATCTATATTAGTTCTAATTACATCCATCTAGAAAATTTATCATTTTCACATATGTTTTTAAACCTCAAAGCAAGCAAATGAGCTTTCATGGGACTTGCAAGAGCGTTCCTTGGACGTCTTTCCATGTGGCTTTGCAAGAGTTACAAAAAGGAGGGCTACTACAATGTATTCGAGTTCATTTCTCTCTTTGCATCTTCCCTTAGTGAAATGGCTATTTCCTGCTTTTGTGATTCCATTCGTATTTTCATACACCAACGTTCATTTATAACGGTCTACTGATATATCTTTTCTACACATGGATTGCTGATTGGACCAGCACTGAATTGCTTAGGGGTAGTGCAGTTTCAAATGATATTATTAAAATGGAAGGGAAGTATGCAATCTACACGGCTGCCACCCACTTATCCATTTTTTTTTTCTCACTTTACCTTTCTTCTTTTTTTTCTTTTCTTTTCTGTTTCTTGATTTGGATTCCAATAGACGGCCCCTCCTTATGCATAACACGCGTACACACACAAATGTTAGTGCTCAGCAGTTATTTTAGTTCTTTTGAGGGCTGGGACGATAATTGGCTCCCTGTCCTTTAGATGATACTGTTCCTTCTGGATCAGTTTGGGTTGAAGTAATTAACGATAAGAACTTATAAAGAAACTGGATTGAAATTAATTTTTATCTACTTGTTTGCTTGAAAATTGAGTAGAAATGTAATGAAAATATTTGACTTTTTATTTTTCACTTTAATCTATCTATGCTGTGTATTTGACGACGACAACACCAAGTCTTTATCCCAGTAATATAGGGTCGGCTAGATGAATCTTTTTCTCCATTATGTCATATTAAGAATCAATTTCTCATGTAAATCTAATTAGAAAATGTCATTTCTTATATGTTTTAACCAAGTTTTTTTTATGTATATTTCTACTTTTTGTAATGTAGGTCAGATATAATACATCTAATCTCCTAAATGGGTCATCAGAAGGCCGATGTTTTATGTGACAAAACCATCTAAGACGATACTCTCTAATCTTATATGCCACTGAAGCTACAACAACTTTTTCACGTAGAAGCTGTGTATTTGAAATTCGTCAGAATAAGAAAAATCTTAGATACATTCAAAATGAACTAGCGAGTGATTTTCTAATACACTCGTATTTAAATTGTTGACCTTCTAATGCCTGAATTTTCAAAACCGTTGTTTCCTCTTTACACTCAGGCTTCGTTTGAGATGGCTTTTTTATTGCTTCTTAAAACAGAGTTTTAATACAAGAATCAAAAATTTTATACTAAAATTTCATTTTAAGAAGTAATAAAAAAGCCGTCTCAAATGAAGCCTCAGAATGCAGTAAATGTATTAGAAGGTTTGGACGCTTCCATTTTCAGGTGCTCATAAGGAAATATGAGGTTGCTTCCTGCTTGACTCCCATTAGATTTCGTTCTGTTTTATTTTTGTTGTCCTTACGGCTGATAGGTGCCCCAAATTTTGGTGAAGCAATGCTTGTGTGAGTCGGTTTCAACTTACAGATACTGTAACCTTATCCAGTTAATATAAAATTTTATTTGCTCTTCTTTCCCAATCTGGAATCTGTCTCTTTATCAAAAATAATTTTAGGAAAACAAGTTGGCTCAGAACATTCTTAGTTAGTTTAGTTTAGGATTTAAGAAATTTCTTCTTTCTAAAGTTGCTTAACATTTCCTTTATATTGTACAAGATTATTGTTTAATAATATAATTATTTGTACTTATTTTAATTGCTATCTTGCAAAAAAAAAAAATCCAATGAAATTAAGGATTCATTTGTGACTGCTTTTTTATTGCATCTTAAAGCGGCTTTCTTGTAAAAAATTTTTATTTTTTGTACTAAAAAACTGCTTTAAGAAGTAATAAAAAAGCCGTTCAAACGAAGTATAAGTTGATGGCCGTTGCTTCGGTTGGATCCACTATTATTGAGTAAATAGGTTCCTTTATTATTGGTGAGTAGGCTAAACATTTGTGTTTTGAGATTATTATGATACATACCTCATTTTGATCTGTTCGTTGAGAGCTTTGATTATTAGCTAAGAAGTTTTGAATTTAAAGCTTGTGTACGTGATGTGTGTGTGAGTTTGCCTTAATTTGCACAAAAATCTCTATAAAAAAGAGATTATAATGACCGGTTTAGAAGAATTTCAAGGGTTGGTATCAATTTATTCACAATTTGGATTGTATCATCAATCTTTGTTTCAGTATAATCTAAGCAAAGGGCTGTTTTTCTAAGAAAAAAGTGTCAGATAATGAATAATTTTTTTTGAGAAAATTTCTCAGTAGATAATGTAAGTAAATTATTTAATAATTTAATTATATTGAGAGATCATACGAGAAGTATAATATTAAGTTAAGTGTTGCAGAGATGAGAATGCTCAGGTGGATGAGTGGCTTTACCCTTAGAGATAGGATTCGAAATAGCTTATACGTGAAAATGTTGGAGTAGCGTCAGTGGAAGATAAGATTTGAGAGAGTTGCCTTAGATGATCTGATCACATAAAATGGCGGCCTTCCGATGACCCGGATAGGAAAGTAGAGGTATTAGATTTGATTTGTGTTAAGAAGGTAGAGGTAGACTTAAAAAGACTTGGTTAGAAAATATTAGAAATGATCTTTCTTTATTAGATTTGAACGAGAATTTGACTTTTAACATGACACAATGGAGAAAAAAGATTCATGTAGACGACCTCATGTAATGGGACAAAGGTTTGATATTATTGTTGTTTTTGAGAGATATCATTTGATATGTGAAATTAAATGTAATGTTGGATTTAATTTTGTTCACGGGCAATGTTAGAAACTTGGCAAGACTTGTAAGGCCCAACATAAGAGGGAATAAAGAGAAGGTTGAAGATCAAGAAGAAGAAGTTTTCTTTAAAGAAAGAAGCTTAGGAATGGGAATGGTATAGTTGGTTTGATTGCTGCAAACGTCAACATCAATGGTAGCCCATAAATAAGGATGGATTCCTCTCATTTGAACTTAGCATTCTTCCTTGTGCCTTCCCTCGCTTTAGATGCACAGCTTTTTTTCTTTTCTTGACTTATTATAGATGACACACTTGGGCTTAAGGTTTTTAATGTTGTTACCATAATTTGTTCGGGAGCATTATTCAGTAGTCCAAGCAAATTCAATAATAGGAAGAAGGCCTAAGGTCAAGTCAAACAAGTACAAAGAAGATGAAAATATTAGTCAAAGGATGGACAACAATGATGGTGGAGTGCTCTAATGGAGTTGCACTCAAGTGGCCTCAATGGGGCGAATTATTACGTCCGGTGACCAGATTATTCGGACATTAATCCAGACGGGTCACATCACCCGGATACACTGGGCCTTGGATGTATTTGGGTGATGTGGCGTGTCTGGATTGGTTTCCGGACGAATCCAAATACCGGACGTAATAATTTTCCCCTTAATGGAGGCTCCACTCAATGCTCAAATAATTATGTCAAACATTCTAATCATCGAGCCTCCAACAGAGTTAGTGATGTTAGTAGTTGCTCTAATTTACTTAATCTTGCTTCCTATGAAATAATGAGTTCAAAATATTATAATTATAAAATTTTATTTTAATGTATGAGATAAAGTTGCTACATGTGATAAGGCGATCAGTTTGTTACCTAAGAGAGGACTAACTTAGACAGTTTCTTTGCTACACTTTCTTTGTGACATTATAGCTCATCTAATAATTATAAGTGAGATTTTAGGTATTGACTAGTAGAGAAAAATTCTGCAACTGATACCACTTAAGTGAATGTACGCGTTAAGAATGAGAACCTTCCAATCTCAATCCTATAAGAACATAATCAAGAGATCCATAGTCTTGTCCCTCAAACACTAAGTGACTTTTATGAATCCACTTCACTAAAAGTTGAAGCTTTGGATACAGAGATTATCCATTTGAAGTCTTCTCTAGCCTATACATAAAGTCGCATGTGTATCCTTATGATTAACTAGCTATGATAGAAGCTTATGTTGAGGATGGAAGAAAAGACTCACTATGCTAAAGGAAAAAAAGTTAGTTCCATTGTGATTATTGATGAGATTGCTAATTCCATATGTTGAGAGGTTCATAACCTTAAAATTGAGATAATTTTGACATGGAAGTTCTTAGAGTCATCAAAGTTGAGCCAATGCTTAGGGGAAGGTGAGTTCGTTCTATGATAACATATGAAGAGTGGGATCAAAGGGTATGGTCAAAATTATCAAGGTATGCTAACACAAATTTTTTCCAATATATTTATGTTTATTGTTGTTTTCAATTTTAGTTCCTTATATTTTATTGATTAATTATGTCTAAATTTTTTTAGGTTAGGATGAACGCTTGAATTAGAAAGATTCTCAAATTTATTTTCAACCAATGTGCTACGAGTTTGAGCCTTGATAAATTAGCTCTATTTTAATGCTGATGTTTTACAAAAATGAATAAACGAAATTTCAAGATAATTATTTAAAATTTATTCAATTTTAAAATCAATTGATATTTCTTTTAAAATTTTCATAAATTGAAATTAATTGAATTAAATCGATGTATAAAAAAATAAAAACATAAAGTTATTAGAATATAGGACAACATGTAGATGTTTTTATGGGGGAAATTTGACTATCCGTCTCATAATACATATACAACTGAAACAATAATATTAAACTTTTATCCCATTATGTGGGGTTGGCTGCATGAATCCTTTTTCTCCATTGTGTCATATTAAGAGTCAAAATCTCATTTAAATATAATAAAAAAGGTCATCTCTAATATTTTTATCAAAATCTTTTTAGGTCTACCTCTATCTTTTTATATAGACAAAACTTAATATATCTATTCTCCTATTCGGGTCATCAAAAGGCTGGAGTTTTACGTGTTCGAATCATCTAAGGCGACTCTCTAATCTTATATGCCATTGGAGCTACTTCAACATGTTCACGTACGTACTCATTTCACATTCTGCCTTTAAGAGTGAAACCACTCATCTACCTAAGCATTATTATCTCTACAATACTTAACTTAATTTTATGTTTCTCTTTTAATGGCCAACATTTTGTGCCATAAAGTATGTCTCGTCGTTCAGTTTCTATTAGAAATATGCTTGAAAGTATCTTTATCGATGGAATTACATCTCGATGAGGGATAACATCTTGTATTTGTGGGTTGCTCAATCAACTTATAAGTAATTTGAACTTGGTTTGAGCCTTAATTCAAACTTTTGGTCAAACCAAAATTGAACTTTTGTTTCAACGAACCTTTGTTGAAACCATTATTTGATTCTTGTTTGAGATTATTTTTCAAATTCTGTTTGAACCTAGTTCAAAGCTTGATTCAAATATGATCATGAATTGCTCCCATTATGAATGCTCAAGATGAAGCTGAAATTATGTGTTTCCTTCGGACAGTTTCATTGGTCATGTAACACCTAAACCTAGTGCTCCCATCACAACTTTCTCCCCTGCAAGCTATCATCTAGTTGTCAATATTGAGCTATTATTCCATGCGGACACCGGACGGGAAAATTGTCCGGTTAAGCACTCTGTATTGCTTGGTACCGAGCGGTACTGAGCTATTATTCTCTAAAGGGCACTGCATGACCGAGCTCGGTACCGAATGCTGTATATTTTTGGAGTGGCGTGACATATTTTTATTGGTCTCCAAATGCCCTCCGGACTCTGCACAACATAATAAATCGTCAATATTGCCCTCAGTACTCCCTCCACTAACTCTTGTTCTCAGTCACACTTCCGCCAATCATACATGCTTGCCTCCAAAGCTCCCTGCACAATCTCTTCTTCTCATTCGCAAGTTATAGTTGGACATGTAGTGCCTCCCCCATCGCTCCTATCATGAACTCTTCTTTTCCTTCATATGTTATTGTCGATCATACCCAACAATTCCTTCACAAACTCCTCTTCTCCTTCACATGTTGTAGCCAATTAATTATGTTATGCATATTCACAATGATTCAAATATGACTTTAAACAAATGTGCGAATCATATTTAAATTAAATTTGAATTTGAAGCAACTGTTGGAGTTAAAGAAAATAACATAGTTTAGAATAAATGGCGTCAAATACAGATTGTATGATTTATGAGTCCATTGATCAATTCGCGAATACAAAAAAATTATCTCTCATTTGAGATAGCTTTGTCCGTAAAGAGCTTTCAGCCTTATTTCTTAAACAAAATATTTTTTTAAAATAAATATATTATGAGATGTAGATAGTCAAATTTCTTTTTTTTATACACAAAAAAGGATTGTTTAAGCATTAGTGAGTTCTTCTAAGATCTAAAAGCATTTCCAAGCTGCAGCAATTTTGATTTCATTTGGGACGGCTTTTTTACTGTTTCTTAAAATAAATTTTTAGTACAAAGTTTTTAATTTATTTATTAAAAAAATAATTTAAAAAGCATTAAAAAAAACGTCCCAAATGAAACCTTTGGTTTTGTTTGGGACGGCTTTTTTATTGCTTTCTAAAACGGAGTTTTAATACAAAAATAAAAAATTTTGTACTAAAACCAGCTTTTAAAAAGCAGTAAAAAGCGCCGCCAAACGAAGCCTTTGCTGATTCTCACAGTTATTTTTAGGCAGCGGTTCTTGTAAAATTTGTTTTGGTACATACAGGAAATTTGTCACCTCAAAATTTGCATAAACAAAACCTAGTTATTTTTGTTGCTAACGGCAAAGCATATACGTAAAGAATAAAATTGTTAATTTTAAAAAAATATTGTTTTTAAATGATAAAAAAATGGTTTATTATTATTTAAATTTAGCTTTTTACAAAATTGGAAAAGATTAAAGGCGAGAGAAATCTTAACAATTATATTGAAAATTAAAAATCCTTATTGATTTAATATTTCTCAATTAATTGCTTATTAACTTTTAGCTTTCTTTATATATATATATATATAACTACATTGGGGAAATTCTATTATCATTAATATGTAGCCAAGAAATCCTTAATTGGCATAATTAAACATATAGTTAATTAATTAATAACTTGATCATTAGTTTATGCCTAATTAAATAACCTCATAATTAATTAATTAATCATTGATTTATTATTTTAATGCCAACTAGTCCACTTAAGAAATTTATTCTCTAATTTATTTAATTAATGCATTAGTCAATTATTTATTAACAAATTAGGACCAATTTATTTGCCAAGTTATGCACTTAGTAACTATACATAATTGTCATCAATTCAAAGCCCTGAAAATTAATAGGACATTGAACTTGAAGAGTCAAAGTTGTAAATATTGCTTGAAATTAGATAACAAAGTAATGCTAAATTATTTAAATATTGCTTGCATAATGTAATATAATGCGAATTTTAGAGCTAATTGTCACGCTTCAACTGAACTTAACCCATAATAGCATAAAAATTTTGCCTAAGATCTGATTGGAAAGAATTATATCTTTTGTCTCTAATATCTTACCAGAGCTACTATTATCATTTAATAATCATAAAACAACAACACAAAAAGAAAAAGAAAAAATAATAACAAACATAAAAATATATCATACTGGTCATCACATATACACACAATTATCATAACTTAAAAAAAAATCATGTACACTAGTCATGATGTTCATCCAAATATTGTAATATTCTTAACAATTATAACTAATATTGATTCTTACAAAGTGGCTATCTTAAAAAAGTCATCTCTCTTGCTCTTCGGCATTCTTAATCTTGTTCTTCTTATAACTCCCAGAGCTTATAGCTCATCATAGAAAGCCCGTATGCTTATCTCTCTTATACATGATGTCTTGATCTTGTTAACCTTAGCGTATCAATATTCATCTCAAATATAAATGTTGGCATATGGCGCATAATATAGTACATGTATTTTAATAGTAATGCAGCATGAATGTTTGTCTTATATGTATCATGTTAAGATGCATATCAGATTAAACAAATGTAATCACTATGCATATCTTGTACATCAGATGCTTGTGAACGTATATATGCATGTTAATGATCAATTTATAATGCATTTCCCTTATAATGACATAAAATTTACTATAAATGCCAAATAATTTAAAGAAATTCAATGCAATTGTTGTGCTCATTTCATGATGACTTTTCCAACTCATTTTATGCAAAGGGAGGTTAGGACAAAGGGAGCAAAAGGGTGAGAAATGCCAATGATTAAGGTTATTTGGGACGGCTTTTTCTTGGCTTCTTGAAGCAGTTTTTTAGTCTAAAAATTAAATTTTTGATATAGAAAGCTGCTTCAAGAAACAGTAAAAAAGCATCCCAAACGATGCCTAGCTTACATTTTGGTCACATTGTAGCCGCTTTCAAAAATTTTTTTTACTATAAACTAATGTAAAAAAGCAATAAGAAAAAAATCCAAAATGAAACATAGAAATGTAAATTTTTAATGAGTTATGAATTAGGACATAATATGTAGAAGTTTTTATAGTTTCATTTAGTCTCAATTATTTAATTTTACTGTTTGATTAAAAGTAAACATCGATTAATTGATCAAGACATGGCTAAGCAGTTCCAGTGAAATCGCCAACAGGTTCGTCCACCAAATCTACCCGTTCAATCGATTTTGAACATAAAAAATCATTTTGAAATTGGATCAAATCAGTTAGTTATGGGACGACGGCTACGATTGAAATGATCAAACTAGATTGTTTGATCTAATTTTTAAAGTATTCATAAAATTGTTTCTAATTTAAGTTAGTAGCATAATAATTATTCTCCAACAAATGCATCGAGATAATCTTTAATGTTTTTCTTTACCAATTTAAGAAATTTATGCTAGATTATTATTGGCCAATGTGATATTTTTTGTTAATTTTAAATAATAAAGTTGCTTAGCATCTGATTTATATTTTGCTTAAGAAGGTTTATATTTTATTTATGTTTATTATTAAAAAATGTTTTATTAACCACAAATCTAGAAGTTCTTAAAAATCTGTCTTAAGAAAAAATTAAATTACTGAAAGAAATTACAACTAAACTTTAATAAAATAAAAAAAAAGTCCCAAACAAAAAATAATAAAAACTGTGAAAGGGAAATTAGGGTTTAAGGGGGCGTGGAGATCTTCGTCGTCGTCCGTCTCCCTCGTGAGTTGCAAGGAGCTCTCTCTTTACGGCAGTCATGGACGCTACCTACTGGATCCGTCAGCCTGTTCAGCAATCTCTGCTGTGCAGCGCCGAAGCGGCCGCGGACCGAATAGGTATCTTCAAACTCAGACCCAAGCTTTTTCTTATCACTTAATTCAAATAGCCTTTTATTAATCTCTCGTTTTCTGGTTTACATTCTTCAAATAAGGAGGTGTTTTGAAGAATTTTTGAGAATAGAAAGTTCTTTCCTTTGAGCAAATCCTGGGAAGACTAGCTAGCGATAAGTGTAGGATTTATGGTAATTTTAGATTTCAACTATGCATGATTTAGTGCGGCAAATCTGGTCATAGCACGCTTCAGTTTTCCTACTGCTTGCTTGCTTTTTAATTATTTTGTAATCTCATTCAGCAAAATGTACAATTATTATGGTAAGAGGTGCGGAAGTAAACTGATAGAATTTACTTCGGTTTGTGAAATATTTCTGAATATTGAATAAACTGGACCGGAGGTGGTTGACTATCAATAGGGCTTGGGCTTATTGGAGTTAGATGTGCAAGAAGGTTGCTGACTAAATAAACTTAAACATGGCCATATTAATGGTTTCTAGTTTGCCAAGACTCCTCTAAAACACTCAACTCTAAGCCCTTCTGTCCCACTGCACAGAAACACACATCCATCAGTAATTTTTTTCTCTTAAAATTCTGATTTGTTTAGTTTTTGTTTCAATTGGCTAAGAAGCTATTATAGATAAAGTTAAGTTTATAAATAGTTGTTGTTGAATATTTTTCTGCTATTTGTTACTTTGGTTAACTCTGTCTTTTGATTTTTGAATGCTGTTTTCAAGAGAAATGATTTGTGCTTGCATCTGGAATGTTGTACTCTTGATATTACAAGACAAATGACATTGTTATAATTCATTCAAATTAGCTTGAGACTAAACAAGTGCATGAAAATTATCTGAAAATAAGGCCATGTTTCAATTTGATTTGTTTTTATTTTGTTTTCTTCTTGTTTCTTTTTTTTTTTTTCACTCGAAGCATGTTTGAATACTTTTTTCTTGTTTCAGTAATATTGAAAAAAATGATGTTTGGATCAAGAAAATTAAAAGATACTCGATGCATGAGAAGTCCTATTTCTTTTAAAGGTTTTTAGATTGGAACCAGCAGCTCAAAGCAATAGAAAATTTTTTATGTGCAATCAATCATTACAATTGTTCTAATTAAGTTTCATAATTGCAAATAAGATAATATTTGGTTGATAAATATCCCAAGCTCCATTATACTCATGATTCCTAAGTTCTCCTGCAACCTCGTTACCAAAATAAACCATCTGACATACTTGAGCTAGACTAGCATTGATCTCAATAGCTTCATGTAAATTCTCCTACATATATATATTTAATTTCCTTCAGTTGAAACAATGTATCCATCCTTGAGTGCAATCTCATGAAATTATGTTGTGTAACAAGGAGTCACTTCATATCATTGTAATTTTAATTCATAATGCGGCATTTGGCTAAAAATTGGAAATCTAGCTTTTATGACTTGAAATCATGATTCAATGACATTTACTAAAATGAATGATTATAATTAACGAGTTCTTCTAACTTCTGAGGGTGGGAAATGACATGATTTCCATTCAAATGGTATCTCTCCTAATAAGATGATAGGAAACTCGTCATATTGGTACATCCGGATTCAATGAGATAGTTCTTCTAGCTTTGTGGTTGGATGGTGACATGATGTTTGCTCAAATGGTATATTTCCTTCTGGTAAGGTGATTGAAAACTCAACATATTGTACATCCAGATTCAATGAGATAATATTTTATTGCATCCATTATTTTGAAAAAAAGACATTATTCTAGATTTTGTCATTGCAAAAATTATAACATTTTTAGATCAAAAGATATTATAATACATAATTTTGAGTTGCAATGGAAAGTTTAATTGATGGTTCAATACACATTCTATGAAGATGCTCATATCATTCATGATTCCTTCCCACACATGCATTACATAAGTGAGCATCATATCAAAATTACATGCACATATGATACCCTTGTTCTTTCCACTATTTGGAACTTGCTCATCTTTAGGCAATGGTGATTGCTCTAATGCATACTTTAAATTCCTTGTAGCCTCAAGTAAATCTATCTATGAATAAAAATATTTTTAGGAAAAATTGGATTGTTATATACCTCTATAAAGAATAATATTTAGGATTGTATAAGTTTTAAGGGGCACTGTCTCAATGAAAATATTTCTAATGAATGCCGAAGTCGCTCAACAATGATCCTTTGTTGTCTGTTGTGTGAAACTATTATTAACAAACTTGCTATATGTTCTTCAATGGTTAAGCATCTGGAAGCTTTTATAATATATTACTCTTCAACATATCACATAAGTTAATAAATATATGTGGATTTATTTTAATTTTAATTGCAATGGTTTGGAAGTACTTCCATGCCATACTTTTATTGAAATACTTGATGTCAAATGTTACATGCTTTTCATTGTAATCATTATTAAAATATAGACTTGAGTATCCTATATTGGAAGTCATCCAGTCATCTATACATATGTAATATTAGCCACATCCTGTCCATTCAAATATAAGCAAATTTTACCCACATTGTATCGATCAGAGAATACTTGTAACTAACAACTAGAACTGTAGTTAAAATATAACACCTGTAGCTACGTAGGTTTCACCACAGCCCACTCAAGCTTAAAGTTGAGTTGGATTGCTAGAGCTAATTAAGTTGGAGCTTGCCTAATTAGTCAAGCTGAGGCTTGAGCTCAAATGAATGAGCTTAAGTTCGCTTATGAGAAGTTTAATGCAAAGTTAAATAATTGCAATTGGAGTAGAAATAATAAGAAATTTGGAGAGAGAAAGTGGTAAATTAGAATTATATGTATAAACCTTTGAATTCTTATTTTATTAAGCTTATTTTATATGTATTTGTCAAGGAATTTGATGGGGGCATCAAACACCTGCGTGAATAGCTAAATGCATGTATGAAATAGAATATGCTTTGGGTAAATTAATATTTAGGTTTTCTTTGATATAGAGATTGCTCACTAAATATGCAAGTATACGTGTCGATCATTTAATAAAGGTGATTGAGGGAGTGTCGATCCTACAAGGAAGTGATTTGCTAGACTGCAATCAAACTTGTACTGTTGTGCTTGAGTGTTATTTGGAGTTGAATCTTTTTAATTTGTTGCTTGTGGTCAAATTTTGTATTAACATTATGGTGATATCTTTTGTTAATTTTTTTATTTTATGTACTTTTAATTATTGGTTTGCTTACATGATTGAATTTGGTTAATCTTATGTATTATGGGTTATCTGTTATAGTGTAGTTATACCTGCATTTAATTTTTATTGATCATAAATTTCTACGCTAAATTTCTAATTCAAGTGACCATTAAATTATCTTTGAATTTTACATTTTTTTATTGTCTCAAAAGCGACGAATATTTCTCTAAATTGGAAGTTGGACTAGAATTTAAACTTATGTGCACAATTTTGGGCATCTCATCCTAGATATATATATCAGACAACCTTCGAAAGACTACATTAGATTTTGTATAAGAGCATAGTGTTACGTCATTATGACAACTATACGTAGGAAGAAAAAAATGGTTCAATCAACATATAATAGCTTGATACAATTGAAACAAAATAAGTAAGCTGTGGTTCTAGACAACTAAGATATTACAATTTAGAGTTTTAGAAGCTTTTTCCCATATTCAATTGGAAGTTTCAAATTAGATTGATAATCTGGGTAATTTCTTCAATGTTGCAATATGTTTGACTCTCAAAGAATTGAATTTGCTGAATTAAAATTAATAATAAATGATCAATAGTTTTGATACGATGTTATTGCTAAATCTACATGTATCATATATAGACTTAAAGAATAATATCTTTCATTCAATATTCAATAACATAGGGACTAACTGTATGTTTAATTTAAGAACTGTAAATAAAGTGATTAGGGTGCATTTGAATATTGAGCAGAAGTTTAAAAACCTTATAACCTAATATTATTTGCATTTAGACTATTATCTTGTCATTATCCATTTCATTAAAGGTCCTACACGAGAAATTAGGAATGAATTAAGCCATGCTTAACAGAAAACCCTACATGAAGCGTTGTACATGCCTTTCAATAATGTGGAATATTTTAATTACTATCATATTAAGACTATTGCAGCATTTTTTAATATTGCTAAAGTAAGATTGTTAGCATCTCCATGAAAGCTTACCTCATCCATATCAATGTAAGAATAAAGTTGGTCAAATTTGAATTTAATAAACCATAGCTTCTGAACATACCTTTCATGATATATTTGATGCATAAGATGATTTGCAGTTTAATAAGCATCTACATTTGAATATTCATGATTTTGAATATAAAATTGAGCAAGAGTTTGAATTTAAGTTTAAAACCAAAATTAAACATGAGATCATATCTGAACTTCTAATATAAATTAAATCTATTCTTGAATGTGAAACTATTAGAATTGATAATCAGTTATGCACATTTATAAATACAACTCTTAATGAATTACTTTGAAAAATTATTTCTATAATGAATAATTAGGCTGATAATGATTTTATTTTTTATTTTTTGTTTTTTTGGTTTGCAAATTCATGAAAAGCGCCTTATGAAGAGTGTTGAATTACGCCAACATTTCAAATGATTTATTAATGATGATTACCTGAAAGAGAGCTTGAAACTTAAAACTCCATCTTCTTGGTCAAAGTTGAAAGTGCATAATTCCGCATTATTAATATTTAAATTATTTGGGATAATTTTTTGTAAAGAGGTTGTATTTGTGGGTTTAACTCTTTTTTTTAAATTTACATTATCATCTTATTCTCTATTAGTTAACTATAGTGTCTTCATTCATTTTTATTAGGACATATATTAATATCTTAGTGTTTCATTACTTGTATCATATTAGTCATTTGTATGATTTATTTGATTTGCATGGAAGTACTTGTAGAAAATTAATTGTTAATTATAACCATTATAAATTCTATTGTTGATATGAATAGAAATATGTGAGGAACTAGGTGATAAAGTAATTATACCTCTA